TATCTTCTTAGAACTCGAAAAAACAAAAGGTCTTTTTGGATATCAAGCAAATGAACTACCATTGGGCTAATCAATGGATGAGCTTTATATAGAATTATTGTAGAATTTTTTCTATATAAATTAATCGATAAATAAAAATCTCATTTTTTAAAGTGCTCGAATTGCAGTTTGAGATAAAAGTTTGTTTTCTCTAGGTATTTCATATCAAATTCTCCTTTTAGATAACTTATGGCACTTGAAATCTCTTCAAGAGTTTCAATAATATTTAAATCCTCAAAATATACAATAATTATCAAAAACTCCTTTTTGAATTTTTTTTAATAAAAATACATAAACAAATATGGTTATTTTTATAAACTTCTTTCAATAAATATTTATTGAAGTGATTGTACCGCATGCACACAGATTAGTAATAAAGAGTAGATATTGAAAAATAAAAAAATAAATACAAAAAATATAGCATAAATTGAATTTCTAAAATCTAAAATAATAAAAAATATAAAAATAATCCTAATAGAGATCTCTATGATTTAATGGAACTTATTTCTTAAAAATGTGTATTACATACTTTAGGTATCTTAAGTCCTTCTAGAACTTCCATATAGATATAATTTTAAGTGAACAAATAATTTACGATCACATTCATTAAATGCATGTATATGAGGTTTTTCATATGTTTCATCAGAGCTAATGAGATAACGAAATATAATTATATCCATTATAGGAGAATATGTCTTATTATAGTCAATTTTTCTCTTCCCTAAGCATTTCATATTAAATTTTCCTTTTAGATAACTTATGACACCCGAAATCTCTTTAAAAGTTTTAATAATATTTAAATCCTCACCATATATAATAATTATCATAAACCCCTTTTTGAATTTTTTTTTTATAAAAATACATAAACAAATATGATTATTTTTATAACCTTCTTTCAATAAATATTTATTGACGTGATTATACCATGTGCACACGAAGTTAGTAATAAAGAGTAGATATTGAAAAAAAATAGTATTAATTAAATTTCTAAAATATAAAATAATAAAATAAATATTAAAATAATCTTACAAGAGATCTCTATGATTTAATGAAATTTATTTCGAAAAAGATTTATTACATACTTTAGGTATCGTAAGTCCTTTTAGAACTTTCATATAGATATAATTTTAAGTGAATAAATAATTTGTGATTACATTTATTAAATGCATTCATATGAGGTTTTTCATATATTTTATCGGGGTAATGAGATAACGAAATGTTATTATATCCATTATAGGAGAATGTGTCTCATTATAGTCAATGTTAAATCTTTGCAAAAACCCTTGTGTTACAAGTCTTGCTTTGTATCTCATAATTTTATTTTTCGTATTTTATTTTCATACAAATATCCATCCGTATCCCATTAGCTTAACATCTTCAAGGGTTTTGATTATGGGTTTTCAAAAATTACTCGTTTTGTAAGAAAACATAATTCCGTTTGGATTATTCTTTTCATTTAGGCTAATCATCTCTATGTCGACATTCTTCGATAAATTTAGGTTCGGGATCCGTATTTTCATTCAAAATGTCAATTGCAACATTATATGCAAAAATCTTATTAATAAATGTTTTTTTTGTTCTATTTTCTCCTCATATTGACATAATTTATGAAAATCTCTTAATTTTTTTTCAAGCATTTGGACTTTTTTTGGAAGCCTATTATCATAAATATCTTTTAATAGTTTTGTAAATATTTGCATCATTTATATTTTCATCTTGATTATTTGTCTTTTTTTTATGATTTTTGTCTTTAGAATTGATTAGTCTTTCACACTTCAAACGTACTTTATATTCATTTACTATAACATTAATAGATTGTCCTTCTTAGGACATCAATTCTAATAAGTGTATTCTTAAGGGGACATGCATTTTAGTTACTTTTTTTGGATCCGAGAATGCATCCGACAATTGGTTTGCAATACCTTATAAATGAATTATCTTATGAACTTCTAGTTCATATTATTTTGTACAAAGATCAAGATGATATAAAAATGGAGTACTTCATGTAATCTTTTTTTTTTAAAAAAATATTTTCAACTACTTATTTTGCTTATTCTCTCCCTTTAATGTTGAAAAAATTGTTTCATCAAAATGTCAACTAGTAAATCGAGTTGTTAAAATATCTCATGTTCATAGGTCAAAATATTTAATTATTAAAAATGATTTAATCCAACATATATTTTTAATTTCCTTTAAATGCCTATTTTATTTAATTGTGAGGAGCACTAGAGATATATACTACACATCTAAAAATTCTTAGATGATATAAAAAACTAATTCAAAGGGAAAGAATTTCTAATAACTTTTAGATGTGAATAAGTATGATTGCATATAAGATTGCATGTCCTTAAACACAAACAGGGCGTTTTGTTTTCATAAGTAATGGTTTATCTATCGATTGAAGTTTTTTGATAAATGATTCTCGCTAAACCTTTTTGATCAACATGTTGCTCAACCTTTATTTTAATATTCAATCAATAATCATTTGATGTTTGGGAGATAAGTTCACTAGCATTATCAATATAAATTATTTTAATGGCATAATATAGAAATTGTACTCATAATCTAATTATTTAAGCTAGCAACCTCGAAAACGTCAAATGCTAAGTAGATAATAAACATACATATGATCATCTTATGGATGCATTTATTAAAATTATAAAATATCTAAATGGTCTATTAGTGGATGAATTGGTCCACATACATCATCTTAAATATATTTTAGAAATATTAAAGATTCAATCTCAATTTTAATTGTTAATAACTTAATAATCAACATACGTAACCTAAAAATTCATTAAATTGAAAAATCTTCCGACTCTTCAATAAACATTCATATAAAATTTTAATAATTTTTCATATCATGAAAGACCCAATATAGCTTAACCGATCATGCCATATCATAAAAATATTTGTATTAATAAATTTTTGATTTACTATAGTATTTGTTTTAACAATTCTAGTACTTTTAATAAAGATCGAAGAGAAAGCGAACAATTACTTATTTATAAATTTTCTACTCGATATAATTGTTGTAATATATAAGTATTCAATATTCTTAATATTTTTTGTCTTGATATGATTCCATTTAGATGAATATTTTTAAACCCAACAAATGTTTATGGGACTTTAGATAGAATAATATTTTTTTAGCATAATATTTTTTTAGGTAATAATATATTTGCCCTTCCGAAGCTTTCAAAATTTGTTCCTTCAAGTAATAATATATTTGCTCTTTTAGAGCTTTCAAAATTTATCTTTTTAAGTAATAATATATTTGCTATTTTAGAGCTTTCAAAATTTGCCTATTCAAGTAATAATATGTTCGCTCTTCTAGAGTGTCCTATTAGACTAATAGTATAAAATATAGTATTAAAATAAATAAATAAATATATTCTTCATAAACATAAATAAATAAATTTATATCTATCTCTATGCAATATAAATTATAAGAAAATATAAATATCTTATTTATATATAGAAAAGCTAACAAGTTATTAATTTTAATTGTCATCATTTTAATATATAAAATTGACCTCTATACTTTACTCTTTCTTTTCATTGTTACTTGATAAAGCTCAATGAGGTGTTTCGACATATGACGGATACTCGATCAATGTCCCTTTGTGTGATACCAATAACATTCATTTTCGAATGGTGGATTAATTCACTTTTATTTTTTATTTTTTTCATAGTTTTTCCACTTCTAATAGGCAAGATGTATTACTCGTGATCACTATAGTTTGTCCATATCTAGTGGTAAGATATATTATTATGACTACTATAGTTTGTCCACTTCTTATAATAATGTGTATTATTATAAACATCACGATTATATGATAATTATTTTAACCATGATAATGGTTTTCGCCGTGATCACATTTATGTCCAAAATTATCATAAGTTGTCGTATTCACTTTTGGGAATGGAGTACAACCGGTTGGATATAATTCATGATTTTTCATTTACAGACTCGTTATTTTATTTAGAAATGTGAAATCAATTCGGAATATTTTTAAAATCTTTTTCTCGATACTACTACTCGTAGTAGCATATTCGAAGCATAAAAATAGAGAACATTTTCTCGAATTAAGCACTCATAATTAATAATTTTTGTTAGAAATATCAAGGGCTATAAAATTAAGTTTATGAGGTTTAATGTGATAAAAATTCTATAATGCAATATATAATAATAACATTTGAAAATAATAACAAATATAATAAAAAAATTAAAGTTTTTCAAGCAACATACTTTAAATCATTAGATTTTATATATTAAATTATTCAAGTTTTCAAATATATACTTTACATATTATTAGATTTAAAGTAAAGAATATATTAGATACATACATTTTATGATCTAGATAATTTAGATATTTTGATAGAACATTTATATAGAAAATCCAATGATTGAGTTTTTTGATAAATACATATCTCATTGTTTATTATCTAAATTGGTTAGAGCTTAATGCTCTTAACGTTTTGTGAAAAAAAATAATAACAATAGTATAATTGAAGAGAAAGATGATAGAAAAATAAATTCACTATAAAATAAAGTGTATACAAGAGATAATAATTCTAAATTATTCTTTTAATCTATATAAAATGATTGTACACAAAATAATGAACAATCAAATCTATTTATAATAGTCTTCAAGATTAGGAAGAGAATTATAAAAACCTATGAATTATTAAATATGCATAAATAATTAAATTAATTATATCATTATTTTAATTTTTTATATTGAACCACGTTAGGAATAATATAATGAATAATGAAAATATGGAATAGGCATTCATTATGAATCAAATTAGTTGAGCTACCATTTTCAAAATGAAGTCAAGGATTAGGTACTTACTTTCAGTTTAGTTAAAAATTGGCTACCTGCCTTTTTCACCAAATAGCATCTAAATACACCCAAGGAAAACCTATGTACGTTGATCACACTCTGCTGAAGAAAATGGACCAAATCCAGCACAAATTCATCCAAGTCCAAGGATTGAAGCTCCACGCAGCCGAGGTCGGAGCTGGTAACAATCCAACACACTCATCTCCTCATTTCTATCATACAACCATCACTGATATTCTGATCCCTAACGGTTCATTTTGATCTTCAGGTCCCAAGGTGGTGGTGTTTCTCCATGGATTCCCTGAGATATGGTACTCATGGCGCCACCAGATGGTTTGTCTTGCCAATGCTGGACACCGGGCTATCGCACCCGACTATAGAGGATACGGACTGTCCGACCCGCCACCCGTGCCCGAAAAGACTACGTTTTGTGACCTTGTGACCGATCTTCTGGCAATCCTGGATTTCTTCGAAATTCCCAAGGCAAAGCTGATTTTACCCTTCTTAGAATTTAACTATAGTAACACAATCACACACTCTACCCTAGCAACTATTAGAGTATATTATTATTTAGTCCCTGTGTTTTTAACGAAATAATTAGTTAGTCGTTGATTTTGAAAGCATAATATTGCATCCCTATGTTTTATTTCCATTTATAACTTAGTCCGTCCATTAAGTGTCACTAAGATGGTGTGCTGAGTCGTCATCAATTCAATTATTTATTCTTTCCAAAATTTTATTTTGACTATATCAATTGAAAGGAACCTAGGGTTTAGTTTGGTTATTTTCTAAAAAACTAACAGACCTTTTAAAGAATTAACGATCATAGGCAGTCAAGGGATGAAGTTATAGTTTTTGAAACCAGAGGGGTAAGTTACATTATCACTAAAAACACAGGGACTAGATTATTATTTACTCAAATTGTTATATGCTTTACCTCATTCAGGTGGTTCCAAGTTTCAACCTCCTCTTTTGTTACAAGAAAAAAAATAAAAAATTATTACATGGACTAAGTCCCAACTGGATTGATGTTAAAACAAGAGTAATGAATATTTTAATAACTAACATTTTTCAAAAAGAAAAGTGATAGTACGGAAAATAAAGTAAAAAAGAAATCATTACATGGATCTCATCGCTGCTGATCAAATTAATGGCATTATTCAGACGCAATATACTAATCAGTTGTAACACCAAGACCCTTTAATTCAACCAATCAAACTGTTTTAGTTCACGATTGTATGTATAATGTAATAAAAAAGTGATATAAGGAAAATATAGCTCCTACAGTCATTTTCTGGAGCTGAATATTTCTTTTTTAACTAGCACAATAGTGAGCAGCTGTTTTTGTTCATGAGAAGTGAGGTAAAGAAGAGATTTTTGAAAAGTTGACTTCTGATTGGTTATTGAGAAATTCAAGCAAAAGAAGAAATATCAGAAAATGTGAGTTTTATTATTTGTGGGGTGTTACTGATTTTATTCCCTCTCAGTTTTCTTACTTGAATGAACATAGGTTGTTCTTGTTGCAAAAGATTTTGGAGCCAAGCCAGCTTACATGTTTGCACTTCTCCATCCAGAGAGGGTCTTAGGGGTTGTAACAATGGGAGTGCCATTCATACCGCCTGGTCCAAGTCAATACCAAAAGTACCTCCCTGAAGGCTTTTATATATCTAGATGGAAGGTAGTTTTCCATTTCATATTCCTTGCTCCAAACATTTGATATGGCATTTTTATTTGTTTATATGGCACCAGATAGTTTGTTAGAATGTATAGAGATACTAAGCGAAAATAACGAACTCATTCTGATTTGAACATTAATTCAGTACAAAGTGCTATTGGTCTTATTGCTTCAGCACCATAAGCCAAGTAGGTCCTATCAAGCAGGGAGCTACTGCTAACATCTTTTAACAACTATCTGCCTAACCAACTCAACTTCCTTAAGCCAGTCTCTTCCCAAGGATTAGGACGAAGGCTTTTTAACCTTTAGACTTGAAAGCACTCCCAAAACACTGATCCTTCCCGCTGTAAATTTCCTTCGTCCTGACCTGGCATACAAATAAAAGCCCATGACCTTCTTTTCATCTTCAAGAAATGTCTGTGGTGTTCTAATCTCTGTACTGAATGATTGAGCTACCCATGCTATGACGAAACTACTCCATTGTCAACTGATCGAACTAGACTGATCTAGCGACACTAGCATCTATCCATCAAGGAATTGAACCATGCCATGCATGTTGCTCGGACTGAACTACCGAGACTGACTGACAAACAAACCCAGCTTTCAAAGACCTAGCTACACTACTTAATTACTGACCATACGACCTATTCTAGCGTGGTAGGCACGAAAGGGAGACAAGAAGTACATTGCTATAACTAAATCAGTTTGACTCGATGCCTGCACTTAGACCTTTCCCCTAAGCTTCCTCAAATAAAAAAGAAGAGTCTCTGCTTTGGGACTAGTTTATCCCCTAAAGCCATAGGTTAATTTTCTATACTATGATCTCTCTTCTCTTATTCTTTTCCTTTTAAATTGTGAATACACGCCTTCCATTCCTGAAGAACAAGAAAGGAAGGGAGTTTAGGCCATCTTATACAACTGTCGAATACTAACTATGGCATTGACATGGACGGTTAGATTTGAATGATCTACAAGCTCATGACATATAATTATCTGAAATCTAAAAATATTTTATCACTTTAGAATTTTTTCTTTGAGTTGTATGTAGGAACCTGGACGAGCAGAAGCTGATTTTGGTCGACTTGATGCAAAAACGGTGGTCAGGAACATCTACATTTTGTTCTCTAGAAGTGAAATACCAATAGCTGCTGAAAACCAGGAGATCATGGATTTGGTGGACCTATCTACTCCTCTTCCCCCTTGGTTCTCAGAGGAAGATCTTGCAACATATGGAGCCTTGTACGAGAAATCTGGATTCCAAACGGCATTACAAGTTCCTTATCGGTAAGTGCACATCAATTAAAGGAGTGCCGGTCTCTGCTAATTTGTCCGACTTGTTTGTACATCAACATCTGATAAGAGTTTGGCTTTATTGGATATTTTGTAGGTCCTTTGATGAAGATTTCAACATAACAGAACCAAAAGTTAAAGTTCCAGCACTTCTGATCATGGGTGACAAAGATTATGTCTTCAAATTTCCAGGGATGGAAGATTACATAAAGAGCGGGAAGGTCAAAGGGTTTGTTCCTGATTTGGACATCATATATTTGCCTGAAGGAACTCATTTTGTTCAGGAGCAATCACCTGATGAGGTGAATCAGCTCATACTTACTTTCCTTAATGCCAGTGTTTGGTCATGAAGATTTGTTGCAAAGTATGTCTATGTTTCGATTGGTTTTAATGCTGCAATTTCGGCACATTGAAACCGAATTCTGATGCTGTATGATTATTGAGTATACAGAGGTGCACTAACGCAAGACCACCGCTCTCTGCCTCTTCTTTGTGGCATGTCCTCTGTGTATTTGAGTATCAAGAAGTAAAATGTATCATTGAATTCGAATTTTATATCAAATTTTGCGTGCAGTACTTTAGTGTCTCACCTTGATGTTTGACCAAGGTTCATGTGAATTCTTGAAACATTGACCGGGAGGTCGAATGGATAATGAAATTCATATAAGAAGAATAACGCATCACTTGGTTTTCCAAGAATTACAGTTTCATATGATGGCAAGCTGAAGAATAGCACACAAATCTGCTATTCCTAATCACTTCTCTGAAACTGGCAAGTTTCCTTGATAAAACCTGGATAGTATTCGTTACAGCTCGACCTCAGAATGCCACACCTATTGATTAGCTTACCAACAGAAGGGGATGTACACAGCACCTAAAACAAGTGAAAAATAATCAAGTAGACCGCGTAAGACAAGAATGAGAGTTGAGAAGTTTATTTGTGGCCAGTCAGCACCTTCAGTAGATGGAAAATAAGGGCATACCCCAACGCCTGCGGACGATTTAGTAAACTCGCACATATTTTATATCAGAGGGAAAAGGACTATCCAGTCTGTGCTGCATATCACTGGATCAATTCCCACCTTCATGGGCTATTTTATTAGTAGTACAGAAAGCTTCAGGTCAGTCAACTCTCTCATTCTCTGTCTCAAATGGATCAGATACAACACAAGTATGTTGACATTAGAGGAGTGAAGCTTCATATTGCTGAGAGTGGAACTGGTTTAGATTGACATTGACTATCACTTTTGCTCTTGCTTTTGACTTTCTTTCTTTTTTTAATCATAGTTGAAAAAACTGTTTCTTCTATGTGCAGGTTCTTTGGTGGTGGTTTTTATACATGGGTTCCCAGAGATATGGTATTCATGGAGACACCAAATGATTGCTGTTGCTAATGGTGGGTATCGTGCAATTGCTCCAGATTTAAGAGGTTATGGATTATCTGAGCATCATCCAGATCTTGAAAAGGCATCATTCGATGACTTTGTGGAGGACGCCGTTGCTATCCTTGATTATTTTCAAATTAAGAAGGTAGCAGTCTTACAGTGTTTCTTTTTTAGCCTAATTTTTGCCATGTATTATTTATTGCGTCACTAATATGTTGCTGAATGAATTTGCAAATATTTAGTTTTGTTGGAAATCAACCAATTTAAGTTGATTACAGGCCTTCATGGTTGGAAAAGATTTTGGTTCCTGGCCTGTTTATCTACTCTCTCTTCTCTATCCAACAAGAATTTCTGGAATAGTTTCACTGGGTGTGCCCTTCTTTCCTCCTAGACCTCTAAGATACAAGGACCTTCCTGAAGGTTTCTACATCCACAGGTGGAAGGTGAATATTTTTCCCTTTATTTTCTAGTAGTGGCAACTTTAAGCTTTCTTTGTATCATATCCAATTTAAGTAACCTTGTCATCTTTGGAAGACGTTGTGCAATCATTGTGCGTGTTTTGCTTTCAGAGAATTCATGGATAATAGGGGCCTAAGTCTTTTTGTCTGCTTTATTATTATTCTCATAGAATGTTAGGCGCTGTTGTTACAAAGCTTTTCTCGTCAAACAACAAGATGCTTTACCTAACATTCTTTTTGGCAAAACAAATGAGCCTGGCGTGAATTGATTGGTTTTATAATTCCATACCTGGTAGGAACCTGGACGTGCCGAGGCCGATTTTAGCAGATTTGATGTTAAAACTGTGTGGAGGAATATCTACGTTATCTTTTCAAGAAACAAAATCCCTATAGCAGAGAAAGATAAGGAGATTATGGATTTGGTGGATCCATCCACCCCTCTACCATCATGGTTAAGCAATGAGGATCTTACAATCTATGCAAAAGCATATGAAAAATCAGGATTTGATTCTCCAATGCGAGCCCCCTACAAGTAAGAATTGTATTGTAATTCCCAATAATCCCCCTTTGTCTAGTTGCTCTTTGAAACTTGAAGCAAAAAAATTTACATAAAATGATCTCAATGCTAACGAGTACCAATATAACATGCTGTATCTGGGTGCTTGCAGGGGACTGCACAAAGAGTTCACCATCAGAAATCCAAAAGTTCAAGTACCAGTGCTGCTAATTATAGGTGGGCAAGACTATTTCCTTAAATTCCCTGGGATTGAGGACTACATAACAAGTGGGAAAGTAAAAGAATACATGTCTGATCTAGAGATCAAAACTTTGCTAGAAGGAAACCATTTCGTCCAAGAGCAATTTCCTGACCAGGTAAATCAGCTAATCATCGACTTCCTTGAGAAACACATTTGATCAAGTCAATTAAAATAAAGTCATCTCCATATCATTGAGACTATATATGACGTTATAATTGTATGGTGTTAAGTGTATCATGACCATCACATTCTAGTTCTTCGAAAGTGGGACAAATCTTTGGTTGATGTTCTCTCCTTTTACCCTTCAAGAGTGAAATTTATGTGCTTTTTGACCTTTTTTTCATTCAAACGTTTTATTGTTCTTGTGGCCTACCTAGAGTCTTTTATCTCAAGCGGAATTTCATTATTCCATTTAAATGATAAGAAAACGCAAAGTTGCATCGATTGATGAATGCAATTTGAATCTTAGTTATATATGTGAAATGTGAAATCCACTTTTGTTTGCCAAATGCATTGGTGAGATTCCGTTGAGACTTCATAGAGCTATCATTCATTATATATGTAAAACTCAATTAAAGCCTGTTTTTATCAAAATAAAGTGAGAAATGTTATAACATCAATTTCTTTCCATGACTCAATTTAAACAGATGGAACATTGATTTTCTCGAGCTATCATACGAGGAGGATAAAATTCTACTTGTGTTAAGAGTATAAAAAACTATTATACTGTACATGATTATTGCTTTGTAGTATTTTGTTATTAGGTTGTCTTCTGAATTTTACTAAAAAGATTGTAATGTTTGACGCACAGAAGAAAAAATGAAAAGAAAATAATTGCTAAAAATCAGAATTCAAAAAACAAAAGGGATGACTTCTCCCAAATTCTGCTCTATGTTTTGAATATTCGAATAGTCCTTGTTATGAAACATAGATCAGGATGTCGATTTCCAATAGAGATTTCATGCCTAAAAACTAGCATTGATGTGGTTTAAACGAAAAAGATATGCTTTTAGGTCCATTATATGGTTGGTGCTCAATATCTCATAGCTTAAGCTGATCAGGATCAGAAACCTTGAACATTTTGGGACCAACATGCAAAATATCATATATAAAACATAAGTAGAATGTTTTCTGCTATTGTGGTATAGTGACCTATCATACTATACTTGGTCCTAGCTAGCACCCTTATCTATTTGATATAAATTTTGCAGACCAAACGGTGAAGATTAGAATGCGTTTGTTTGTTTGTTTATGCTGCTGATGCTTGAGGGCTTCCTTCAATTCCCGCAAGCATTCTTTTAATTCTTTTAGTGAATTGTGAAGAATACAAGAGGATAGCTAGATAAGCTTAAACTTGTGCACCAGAACAATTGAAAGATACAGGCTTGGCCATGTAGGATTCTCATCCCCAACCATGATCAACAATCTTTGGCTCCAAATCCTCTTGTATTTTCACTTATTTTGCCAGTCTTTCATCTGCAGCCTCGTTTTTTTTTAATGAAGTGGATCGGTATTCTATAAGAGCAAGCAAGAATTATCAATGCTACTATGGTAAGTCCCAATATGAGTTTGCATATGTAAGCTCTTCTAACATGAGTTGTTTAGCTTTTTTTTATTTTGTAGTGATTCAGTTTTGTCTTTTATTGATAATCTTCCATCATGGAAATAGCTTCACAATAAATTGCCTAATATATATGTATATGTAAAACAGAAGAGGAACAATTATTAAGATGAAATTGAACTTGCACTGTCATGTGAACTTTGCTGTTTCTCCTTCGTACTTGGTTAGTAGATACTTCATTGAGTTAGCTCAAATCACTAATTAAAAAAAAAAAAAAACACATGTATTTTACTTCAACAAGATAAATGTAACATCTGCAGTGTGCCGTTTATATGGCCTTGCACACCAATTCGGCTCTCTCAACTCAATGGTTTTCGGACACTAGTACCACTTATCATGTTACTCCTAACCTGTTTCATTACAAGTAGGAGAAAGTAAGGAACTTGATATATCTAGCATTGCCTTAACCACTTTACACACACCAAAATGCATTAAAAAAAACCATTATTCTCTATTCAACGATTTGCAGGTGAAAATAATATTTTCTTTGAATTTTACCTGTTTTACTTTTGTGTCAAGGAGTTCACTTCTAAGGAAACTCTTCTTTCCATATGGAATAAGAATGGTCTGTGTCTTTTCTGAATCGTCAGCCACGTTTGTTCATTAAGTCTTTCTCACAATTCATGCTCCTTTTGAGACATAACATCATCGGCTTGGACATCCAACCCCTCGTATTTTGAATCAACTTGTTTTAGAAAATATAGTTTCATGCTTAACTTGTAGTGTTAAGTTTGAGTGTTCGGCTTGGCCGTTTGGCGAGTCCTTTAATTAGGTTATCTTTAGACATTACATGCATGTCACAAGTCTATTTACCATTTGGAGCTCATTTTCAGTTATGTATCGAGCTTGTTTCTAATTCTTTCATTCAATGAATTTTATTAATTTTTGATGATGACTTTACCAAATTTATTTGGTTTTATCCCATTTCAAATAAATTGGATGTTTTAAAAATTTTTCTCCAGTTTCAGAAGTTAGTCGAACGACAATTCTCTATTAAAGTTAAAATGTTTCAAACTGATTGAGGTGATGGATATCGAAAACTACATACATATTTCATTAACATTGGTATTCACCATCTTGCCATAGGTCCTCATAGCCATGAACAAAATGGCTCTGTTAACCGTAGGCATCATCACATTGTTGATATCGGTTTAACTTTACTAGGTATTCCAAAGTTTCTCATATATTTTGACCTTTTTGCCTTCGTCATTGTTTTTACTTGATCACTCACATCCTACTGCTACAAAATAAGGTAAGGCTTGTGGCTAAAGAGTTTCACCAACATTAGAGTGTGGACTACACTTAAACTTCCAGTTTTGTTATTAAACCTCTCTCTATCTGTATTGCAATCAGTATTTTTGTTTTTAAGCAGTGGCCAGTTTTTCAACTTATATTCCTAATGTCTTTCTTAATGGCATCCTCACTGAAGCCGTGTTTATGAAGCAATTAACCCCTCGGCTTTGTTAATTCTACCTATTCCAATCACGTGAACTTTTTTATTTCTCCTTCATACTTGGCTATGGAATACTTCATTGAGTTAGCATAAATCGCTAATTAAAAAAAAAAAAATCAGAGCTTTTGAGTAGAGCAATCTCTCTCTGGACATATCCTCTAGCTCTAACCTATAAAATCATTATATATTTATCATAACCCGATTTTGAACCCCTGTTTTTATGAAGTTTAAGAAAAAATCAAAAAAAATCAAAAATTAAACATTTTACATGATTTATCTAATTTTTTCAATATATTAAGCTTTTTACGAATTTTTATGAGTTTTATTATTTTTGTAAGTTTTGAAGGAAAAAAAATAACCGACCATGAAAATGTGTGAAAAAAAAATCTCTGCATAATAATCGAAAAAGAAAGTAAGTAAAAAAATGATTAAAAGAGATTTTTTAAATAAAAAAAGAAAAAGAAAAGGAGTAAAAATACATAGGCTATCATATTCTAGTTTAACAAAGCCTAATTCTAGTTTTTAGGATTAGCTTAATCCAACTTTGGGATTAAGGAATCCCTAACCATACATGACTAATTCATCTAGAAGGAATCAACTTAGACAAAATCATAGAGAAATTTTATAATAATCAAAAAGTAACTAGTATATATGTACAATAGTTATTCATTAGGTTCACTTTTAAGGAAAAAGATAAATATATTAAAAAAAAATCACATTCAGATCCATAAAAAATAATAAAAAGATTTTCACATTGGTTCAAAATTTTTTTTTAAATTTTCTATTTCATATTTCTCTCTCTTTTTTGTTTCTATTTCTCTTTATGGAATAATTTACATTAGTTATGCGTTGAATATTATAAAATTTCTCATTAGTTGAAGGTCAAAAATATAAAAGAAAACTTGAATTTTTTTCTCTCTTTATAACCTGTTTCTTCTATCTTTTTTAACCCATATTTTCTCTCACCAAGTGATAGGTGATTTCCAACCAAATTCACAGTTAAAACACACTAAAGTTGTCACCACCATGCGATAGGTGATTTCCAGCCAAATTCACGGTCAAAACCACACTAGAGTTGTCACCACCACTCCAACTATCTTCCCTTATAAGTGACAATAAAGGAGAATAGCTTAGGAGAGTAAAAAACCCTCGAAACGTTGGCATTATTTGAACCGCAGATTTAACTCGTTTTGTTCCTTGACTTACTGACCAAATTGATCATTCTAATGGCTAAAATCGACTTCCAATGTGTTTATGTAGTTGATTGGGATTGATTTCAAGCTTTAAAACTCGATCAAATCCAACAGACAAAGTTCATCAAATAAGAAGAAAGAGACTGAGACATTTAAGCGTTGATACTCCTTCTTCTGACTAGTCATGTCCATCACAACCTTCATCGAAGGGTAGAAGAGGATTCATGCTAGCTATCCTGACCGCCCTCCTGTATAAAAGAGACCGGTAATTGACTAGAGAACAAATGGTAACTTGTTAGAGTGAAATTGCCGATTGTGGCAATTTTTGTAAATAACTGCAATGCATGTTTTCCACGTGCTAGGGCCATTTTGGTGATTTCAGATCTGGCCAAGGGAAAAGCACTCATTTCCATAGATTATGCAAGGACATTTTAGTTATTTTTGCGATGGAATAATGACACGGTAAATATATTAATTTTTAACTTTTTCTGCATCTAGGACATGGATTTAATTTTTTTTTCATTTAAGTATATAATTTTTTTCAAAATAACCAATCAAGTGTATTTATCAATTTCTTCATTAACCGATGACGTATTTGTTACCTCTAGAATATAAAATTATAATTTTACCTTCTTTTTTTCTTCTCAATTGAGTACATTGATTTTAATTTTTTTTTCATTTGAAAATACTAATTTTTCAAAACTATCAATCAAATATTTTCTTTAAATTTTTTCATTAATTGATGACGTATTCATTATTTTTAGACTATCAAATTACGGTTTTTCTTTTTTTCTTTTTTTGTTGGAGGGAACTTTCCTTTCAAATGCTCATAAGCAATAAATCTTTTTGATGAAAAATCTCATGTTTGTATTTTTTCATGCCTATAAATA